TGATTTGGAATCCTTTCCTAGAATTTAGTTAGAACCTTTAAGCAATGCAGCACAATCTATTGCAATAATGTTGCAAACTCAAAATCAAAATTAATTATGATCAGGTTTTAGTTAATTAAAAATGTTTTTAGATAGATAAGTTTGGGTTAATGTAAGCTGATGAAGCCTATTGGTTAAGAGCCCCTAAAATAAAATAGATTGAAAACAAGTTATTGTTGTAAGTATTATGGAACCAGTGTTTGAAATAAATGTTTATTATTATGTATATCTTTACCATTCACGGTACCACAGGGTCCCGGTCATTTGGAAGGCGTACGAGGGGCCGAAGCCAATTGCGCAGAGGCCCTTTAGACAACTTTAATCTAAATGTAATGGACACACAAACCGGCGACTGCCCCTGTATAGACTATTAGGTATTACTGTAGTAAATGGAATAGGAGGCAAACGAGCAGATCAGGCATCACCTATGGTAAGCGTTCAACGCCGCCCATGGACATCCACAACACCAGAAGAGTCACAGGTGCGTTGCGCGACTTTTAAAAAGGAGTATGCTCTTTTCTTGAAGCTTTGAAGGTCGTATCGGTTCGGAAATACCGCCGACGACAGATCATTCCATAGTTTTGCTGTACGAGGCAGAACGCTACGAGAGAAGCGCACAGTTGTGGCCTGCCAACCATCTATATGATGGGGATGCATATTATGCTGTCGTGAGGGTTGATGGCGAAAAGACGCGCCAGGTATAATTAAACAGTATTATTATTTCTATAGTTGACAACTCACTCGTGATACCTCGGATGTTGCAGCTGTACTTAGACTACACAATAACCGCTTAAATTATATCAAGCGACCCATAAGCTTTGTTGATATCGATAGTCGCTTCTTAAGCATCTTTATGCGAGTTTGAAAACTGACAAAAAACAAATTAATGTAGGTCATCATCAACAGCCGGAAGACGTCCACGGCTGGACAAAGGCCTCCCCCTTAGTCCTCCACGTCGAACGACAACTCGCCACCCGCATCCACTGGCTCAACAATCTGTGGATCACACAGAGTTACTCCGTGTGGGAATCGAACCCGCGACACGTTGCGCGTCAGCCAGTTGGCCAGCTACCTCACCAACCGTGCAGTCAATTGGAGAAAGCTTTTGACATGATCATTCGGAACGTATATGTCTTCTTTTCAATAAAACAAAGATAACTCTATTTATGTATTGCAAACTGAGAAAATACTGCTAATTGAAGTACGGTTAACCTTTAGACTGATATTCCTGGAGCTTTTTATTCACACTGGTCACTTTTGTTCATCCAGAACCTTAACTGAGGACATTTTGTGTAGTCTAATCTTAATAAAAATCAGTTTCACATCTTCATAAAAGGTCAAAGCAGGTATGGGCGGCAGTGTTATTTTGAAGGATCCATCCACCGTCTCGCATACCTTAGGACCTCGTGGGCTAACCGCATTATCCCAGACTTGTAAATGCACAAACACAATCAATAAGACTGACAAAATACATTGGCACTACTGGAATCGGCTTACTGCTGCGTGAGCAGACGTCATGCATTCTTAAATGTTCTACAGTCGGTGGCGCTGTGGACTGGGTCGCTCCGTTCCCTACGAAATGGTTGATCGGACCGATTGCTGGCCCTCACGTCATGCTCGTGAACGGGCGCCTTCTGCTGGAGCAGGTCGGCTCGCTCATCGCGCGTGTGGGCCGATCCAGTAAGGTTAATGTAAATGTAATAAAACATGTATTGTGTATATATAGATATTAGACACAACCTTCTTTGTGGAAAAAAAAAAATGTGGTTAATGTAGCACGTAAGATTTTTGTAACAATTAATTTTGACTGTAAATTAAAAGATAATGTAATGGAATGACAAGGGCACGGACAAGAGTCCGTGGAGAATAAGAAATGTAATATTAAAAAAAAAAAATGCACAAACACAATTTTCTCATTAAGGATAATAATAAATGAATAATAATTAATCAAGTAAGTAGTCTGACCAACATTACTTTATTTAAAATCAGACGTGCATTTTCCCGAGACAAAAAGTATTTTGTAAACGACACTCGTCACCTTGCCAACCTTTTGTGAATAAAATAACATATCATCACGCCTTTTATCCCCGAAGGGGTAGGCAGAGGTGCATATTACGGCACTTAATGCCACTGTACAATGTAACACCCACTTTTCACTATTTATGTTATGAGTCTCATATAATATAATATATATACCGGTCACATTTCCAGACTTCGTGCTAATACTGAGATTTTTAAAAACCCAGTCATACTTTGCCTGACCCGGGAATCGAACCCGAGACCCCTTGTCCGGCAGTCGCACTTGCGACCACTCGGCCAACGAGGCAGTCATGTCAATAGTTATGTAAATAAAATAATTATTCAATATTTCCATTACTTCGGCTTAGTTTTGTGGTACTAGAAGTTATGTAAATTACAATGAAAGATGTAATGTTCCGTGTATTCCTTTTTTAAAATGATTTTCGTTTTGTGTTGTGCACATTTTAATTCAATAGTTATTTATTGAATGTCGGGTTTTAGCTTAAAATAATTACAAACGATAAAGTTACAAAGTTTATTGAAATGTAAGAATGTCTTTTATTGAATCGAAATCTATTACACATATATTGAATACTAAGATAAACATTTGGTACACACATCTAAAACATTTAATTGAATCCATTATGTTGGCAATTGAGAATTTTTATACCATCTTATTCTATAGGCTGCCTACTCTTGATTCCTCATCCTTTCCACATTAAAATGGCATACAAATATATTTGTTCTCAATTATTCTTTATTTCAAAGTCATAAGGTTTACATTGCAATAAATAACGCATTTTTTGCAGGGCATTAATAAAAGATAGTGCAACTGATATGGTTTTTAAAATAGCAACACTGAAACAAAATGCGCGCGAAAAATCGACGTAATGTTTTTGACGTTTGACATTCACACATTTGTCAACTGTCAGGCGCTTGACCAATCAGAAACTGGTATCCGCCATGATGATGATATTAAATTTAAGTTAGCTATATTTTTATAATCTATTTATTCATAAAAATTCAACCTAAAATCACAGTATAATTGGGCGTAGCTAAAATTAGGCATAAATTGGTGCCATCCACCACTCAAAGCTCTTCGCCAAACCCTAGATATTTCCTTCCTCACATATTGCACAGAGGAACATGGACAGTCACTAGTTATTGGGTATATGTACACCTATAAACATTAAATATTATATTTATAATGCTATATTAAGAATACATTTCAATGAATTTCTATATATTAATCGTATTGTTTGTAAAAATCAGAAAACCTTTTCAAAGTGTCTAAAATAGAGGGTATACAGTTACCTACCTATGTAGTTGCAGTACAACCCGTGTCTACCCCAAAGGTCTACTCCTTTTAAGAATAAATATGTAGGATGTTATCAATCAATAAACCAATAAAATATTAACCAATTTTTATGATTACTTTTCTTTATGTAAATACAGACTAATATCATAACAAAATCAACAGTGAACAAAATAAATAAATAAATAGCACATTTTACTCTTTTTCATTCATTTCATAAATTTAACGATACAATGAGTTTAAAATTTTCAAGACTACTATCAAACATGAAATATTATGAGACATTACATAATACATAACAATAATACATATTCATTACATTTCTAAAATTCATTATATGTGTGAAAAAACAGCAATTAGGTACGACCAACCTAATGTCAGAGTACCTACTTAAAATGAAATGTCTGTTTCAAGGACTTAATATTTTGTATATCCCAGTCTGCATTTACATAATTACAATGAACATATTGTTGAATTTATTTGAATAACGACGATACATATTATATTAACTACGTCGAGAATACATCAACGATAATACATCTAAGTATATATTACTGATCATCAGTCAATGTTTCATAAAATATTACCCTTTATTTTGATTATTCATAGCTACTCCCTATAACAGTATCAAGACTACAGTGATATACATGACATAATTTCTAAATATAAATACTTTTGTGCACACTGCAATAAAAAATATACATCAATTCCACATCTCTCCACATGCCACATGAAATCCGATATTTTCCTTTTTTTTTAATTTCCTATCTATGCTTCCTTTTACCTCATAATCCATTAAAATCGACTCAGCAGTTTAGGTATAGCCATAATACTAAACTCATTTCATCACACAATTTGCACCTCATTACTTTAATTCCATCCAAAGGCATGAAAAATGTAATCAAAATTAAAAATTTTGGAAACATCTCAAAATGCTTGCCAAAGGTCTTATCAGTTCAACATTTTATCAAATATTATTAAAAAACTACTATAATAATTGATAAGTACCTACAGCCTATACATTTTTTAATTGCAGTGTCCATAGGCTGTCTGCTGTTCGTAACAGTGTCACATATATTATCTATTTGCTAAATAGAGATCTAAATAAACTAACACAATATGTCATACTACTATTTCTATCCTCTACACAATAGCTACATTGATAAATATAATTCAAATACATTGAATAAATACCCGAAAAATGCAATAATTTTTAAACATAATTAATGATTTTCTTAATATTTGTCACTATTTCTACTCGGGGAAAATACTAAAACATGAATTGTATAAATGTGTAGTATAATATAGAGAACTACTTAAAACTGGGGTGCAATAACAAAACAAAATTAACTATACTTACAAGTGTGATACCTGACTAGAATGTTTTATGGATCACAAACAAATTATAATTATTTAATCACATAATTATTTTTACCCTAATAGTTCATACAGAGCTCAATGAAGTATAATTAATATTTTTGATTTTTATCTTATGTTCGCAATTACTTGATAACTAATAGCCTGTTTGACACCACAAACTGTATTCAAAGCTCCAGAACCCTATAGAATAAACTAATTGGCATCACACTCATCAGAATCAGTCGGAGCATAAAATAATGATACCAATTTAATAATGTGCGGCTAGGCCATGTACACACTTGAGATAATTCTCGTGTCTGCCGGCATGCCTGTCCATATCCTTTCGCCTGTCAGCCACCACTGCCTTCTCATGCTGAATCAAAAATTTGAATAGGGGGCAGTGGTACACCCAGTCTAATTCTTTGTTTGCAACATCAGAATATCTATTGCCGCATTTTTTGCAATTCTGCAATGCTTCCAGCTGTTCTGGCGCTAATTTCTTTCTTGCCAATTTTCCATTGACCCGCTCTATTTCAAAGAAGTCATACATGGTAGTTAAAATCTCGCTCACTACAAATCGTCGATGATACCAAAGAGCCTCATGATATTTGTAATACTTCAAAAAGTCAGTGTTTTGTGTCAGTTCATAAATGTAAATTTCTAATTTTCGACAAGTTTCATAGGATTTAGTGTAGCATCTGCACTCGTTGGGAGCATAGTCAAACAGATTAGCAATTATATCTTCGTCCTCAATAGTCTTCTTAAAACTTTTGCTATTTTTCTGAGCTGGATCACTAGCTTCTATGAACTTCTGAACATTCTCACGTAAGTCTGCCTCAAGCATTTTCTCAAACACTGGCCATCTTTCATCTAATAAGTTAAGCTTTTTCAAACAATGTTGGCGGTAATGAAAGCAGCTGTAATCTGAAACATGGCGGGCTGTCCAACCCACAATGAACTTGTATTCATTGTAGAAAATAAGAGTGCTGTCAACCTCAGCCCTGTACTTCCAGGCAAACTCCGATGTCCACCTACGATGATCCCAACTGTGGTAGTTATTTGCGCACTTGTCTGCAGTCATGGTACAAACATCAAATTCATCTTCCAATATAGTACTCACAAAGTGAGGTGGGCGCTCAGGAGTCTCTGAAAGTAGTTAAAATTTATAATTAACTTTTATGTCAGCATCTGTATATTGACACAGAATGTTAGTGACAAATTTAACCTCTTGAGCGCCAATGTCACATATATGTGACAAGCGAAAACTGTGCCTAGACGCCAACGACACAAATACATGACAGGAAAAGCGGAACCGGAAACACTAAATTCACAATTTGATTCCCTATTGGAATCCCTATTTCTTTCATAGAAATTTGCACGGAATTTGTGGCATTCAGGGCAGATTCATGTGTTTTTGCTCTGGTGTTCAAAAGGTTAAGTTAACTTGATTCAGTTACTTGAGGCAACACAAGAGGTGTAGGTGCAAAAACATTTAAGAGATATAATTAGAATACAACAATATAATATCACGCCTTTTTATCCCCGAAGGGGTAGGCAGAGGTGCACATTTCGGCACTTAATGCCACTATACAATGTAACACCCATGTTTCACTATTTATGTTATAAGTCCCATGTAATAGGGGGTGAGCCTATTGCCATATACCGGGCACATTTCCAGACTCCGTACTACTACTGAGATTTTTTAAAAACCCAGTAATACTTTGCTCGACCCGGGAATCAAACCCAAGACCCGTTGCCCGGCAGTCGCACTTGCAACCACTCGGCAAGGGTGCCTATATTATTAGAATATAATTAGAATATTATTATTTAAAAAAGTATGTATGTACTAAAATACATAACATCATCACGCCTTTTATCCCCGGAGGAGTAGGCAGAGGTGCAAATCACTTAATATCAGTGTACAATGCAACAACCACTTTTCACCATTTATGTTACGAGTCCCATGTAATAGGGGGTGAGGCCATATACCGGGCACATTTCCAGACTCCATACTATGACTGAGATTTTTTTAAACATCCCACTAACACTAGCCCGACCCGGGAATTGAACCCAAGACCCGTTGCTCGGCAGTCACACTTGCAACCCAATGAGGCAATACCAAAATAACAGAATAATATTTAGATGGACATTAATTTCATTAATTATAAATCATATATGATCAAATAAATAACATAATGTTATTCTATTCAAAAACTTACCTCTCATCACATGCTCTATCACAAATCTCCTGTATGAGAAAGCATCATTACACTTGTGTTTCCGTGAAAGCACTAGTCTTGTAAACGTCATCTCCGCAACCCAGTCGAGGTATCTTTTAGACATCAACTCCCTTCTCTTATTCCACAATGTAGTAACATCAGGATTGATCAGAAGTGTAGGGTTTAAAAGTAACATGATTCTCTTGTAGGTCAGGCCTGATACCCGACTGAGGCGCCGCTTTGGGTGCGTCAGGAAATCCTCAATTAGATCCCCGTAGCAGTAGTTGTACACATGCTTCACACACCACGATTCCAAAGCCACAGAAGAGTTCACATACAACACCGGAGTCTTGTTCTTTGTCGACTCCACGGGCACGATATCAAACTCGGTTCTGCAAAAACACAAAGGATTAACGCTACCCCATATTAGTAAATATATCTCATTGAAATTTTGCCAAATTAAAGTAAATATTTACAGCGGTGATTTAGCAAGAGCACTGTCTAGTTCTTTTATTATTTTCTCCACCAGCCCGTTGTGGAAGTCGTCCATTGTTGCAACTTTCGACTCTCACTTGAGAACCTAATTGTATTTGAAGAAATTAGTTATTAATTTATTAGAAAGGAGGAACAACTTCAATAAACCACGTACTCCCAATATTTTGAAATGTCAATAATGCTGAAATGTCATCTTGCCATTCGCATTGATTAAAACCATAGACAATTTGCTTTTTAGTGAAGTATTGATTTTTGTTGTACGGCACTATGGTATTTGAGTTCATCAGAGTTCACGTGAATTGTACTGAGATAGCAGTGGGGTAGCATTGTAACGTAACATAAAATCCATAATCAAATCAACCATGTACCTAGTTTCCCTTCCTTGTGCGTACTGCTAAGGAGTGGAATTCTTTGCCAGAAACTGTATTTTCTGAAGGGGAATAACCTTTTTTTTCAGAGGGGAAAATCATTCAATGACTTCTCCAGCCTTAGGTTAGGCGAGAGGAAGTGTCAGACTTTTACTGACTAAAAACCACTGATGGCTTTTTTCAGTAAATTAAGTAACGATTTGTAGGTACATGCATGAAGAATTGATATAGTAGTCAATTACAAAATTTTGTCTTGTTTGCATGTGGTTTGATCAAAGAATAGCATAATTTAATGTCACTGACGTATTCTTTAACTAAATACGAATAAGAAACTCAGCATGCTCTCGCCTCACCCAAGGGGAAGAAGTCATTGGATGATTATCTCCCTCAAAAAAAAGTAGGTATATATAAGTACCAACCCAATATATTATGAATTTATAATATAAAGGCATATGCCTTATAATAGTATCACTATTGAGCATGCTCAAAACGCCTGTCGATCCGAAAAGAGCAAAATTCGAACACACATGCTACTAAGTGACAAATGGCTAATTGAAGCATGCTTTCGTGCTTAAAATTAGCATGTGTAACAGTATCTTTATAGATGTACTTAAATTGATACCATCTACAATAATAAATTTACCCATCTAAATAATCTTAGTACCTAATCCATAAGTATACTCAGCATTACAACAGATTATATAAAAATAATGAATCGTAACGATCACACCTACGTTATTACATAAACGTGTGATAATCACACTGAATGCACTTTTTATAGCATGGCATTATAAGAAGTAAAAATTGCTATTGTAATGTTATTATCACACTTTAGTACTTAGTAGATTATAATAATGGTCTTTTGGTAAACCTACCAAGACTTATCTCTCCGATAACTCAAGCCCCAGCTATTGCTGCTTTTACCGACTAGGGAGTTTACTCTTGAAACCAATCTCAATGTCAATGCAATTTCAATCCAATAAAATCTGAATAATTATTCAATTTAACACTATACAACTCCTATCGTAGCTGTTAAAATAGCATTCAGAGTACGGAATATAAAGCTAAACTCAACACAATTTAGTTCCTCACGCCCCAGCCGTCGCGAGAGACACTGGGCGTCGAGGATCGCGAGACGGTCTCCGGCCACCGTAAGCAAAGACTACAATACTATATCTGACCGTAAGCACGGACGGCGAGCAAGGTTGACTCGCCGCCCGTCCAGAATCCGACCCGTGCGTACGGCGCGTCGCGTTCCGCCGCGCCTCAAAGAACCATCAGACCACCACAGATGAAGCTCATTAGGGCTGATGCCGATGTAGAAAAATTTTAACAACTGAATTATATTGAATATTTTATCAATATTTATTTTACACTTAGAAATTAGACTTAGACTTAACAAACATTATAATCTTACATCTATTGCTTTACTTAATTAATTCGGTAGGTAAAACATTAATTCGAAATTTCTATTCCATCATAACTTTTGGAAAGCCGCATAGGCGCTGTCGATGACTGGGGTTATGTCCTTAGCCGGTTTGTTGTTGTTAACCAACCAGACGGAACCCGGAGCTCCATTTTGAAACATGTAAAGTGAAGCTGCAGCTGCTGACTCAGGCAGGCCTGAAACCACATGAAGAAAATTAGGTACACTCTTCTCTCCTTAAATAAAGGTGATTAAATTAAAAAAGTTTTAAAACCTATACCCTAAACACAGACTAATACAAGATATAATACTTTACGAAACATTTAAAATATTACAACACCAGCTTAAGAACGTGTGTTTTGTGTTGTAGCTTTGAATTTTATTTAAGGGGGAAAATCATCCAATTACTTCTCCCGCCTTGGTTGAGGCGAGAGAGTCAGACTCTTCTTGTTTACTAAAGACCACCCTATGACTACACCACACGTTCTGCTTTGAGTCGCCCCATTAACCCGTAAGGTTTCTCGCAGCTCCGTTGCTTAAGCTCCCTCCTTAACATGCCATCAGAAAACTACGTTAGCTGTAAACCAATTAATCTGGAAGTATTCTTTTTTTTGAGTAGCAAGAATCATCCAATGAATTTTGTCGCCTTGGGTGAGGTGAGAGAGCGTCAGACTCTTACTGATTAAAAATCACCCCGTTCCTACTTCTGCTCTTCGAGCCGGAATCCCGGCTACTCGTTTACTACGTATTCCGCGGCCCCGTATGTGGTAGTAATTTGGGGAGGCCTTCCTCCATCAATACAGTTTTTGCGGCTAAGATAGGACCTATGATGTGATGGTGACGATAACCAACTACTACGTACTCCGAAAAGTAAAAACTTACTTCTGGAAAATGATTCCGTTAGTTTTTACAATTTCGACCAAAGCCTTTCCGGCTTTTGGGTCGTATGCTCTTGCGTCCAGGTTGTGAAGCAAAGGTGTATCGGTAGTTCCAAGACATTTGGTCAGAATTCTAATGCCTGTGAGGTCGTAGAAGGGTTCCATCTGAAAATGTTGAAAAATATTGTAAAATCTCAAAAACGCTATTGCGAAATCGTAAGATTCAACGATGAGCTTAACATATAACGAGATATTTTTTAATACACATAACAACGAAAATGAGAATATCAAACGTGTGCCTTCAATTCGATTGCTTTAACCGAAATTTGGAAAACAGTCTTCTTATTGTTACTTAATTTCTACAATGCAGTTTCCCTTGGTAGGTGTCTGCTTATTTTTCAGACTCACTGTTAAACATTGACCGAAGTGTAGAACAGCCATTTTGCTGCCACTATAGACAGGCAAAGCACCAGGTTTTCCTAAAGCACCTGTTGAAGATATGTTGATGATAGTTCCGCCGGCTCCACCTTCATCTTTCCTCATGTGACTGATGCCTTTTAAGGAGAAGGAGACCAAACCTTGCTGAAAAGTAAAACAATTATTGTAATGAAAGAAAATTTGGAAGAAATATTTTAAAAGAAAAAATAATAAAATCCAATTCTGAAGAACGACAGGAGTGATGGATACTTGAATTTAAAATAACTCATAATCCTTTGATCCTTTAGTTAACAGCCGAATGATGGAGCCAATGCTACTCGTTTAACGTGTGTAGCTAAAAAATTGATACCCCCAACATTGGGGCCAATGCTATTTGTATTTATGATAATGTTGGCCTCACTGTTCAGGCCAATGTAAGGAGGCGGTGTAAATATTAATATTGCAAGTATATGCATTACCCAATTAACGTCGGATGCAGTTCTCCACATGTCAGGAGTGTCAACCATGATGCCAGCGTTGTTGATGATGACGTCAATCTGCTTGAACTGAGCGAGCACGGCGTCCCACGCGCTCACGATGTCTTCCTCCTTGCTCACGTCACATTTTAAGAATATCACCTTATTGCCAAAAGTATTATTTAAACGTTCGGTTGTCGCTTTGCCAGTTTCCACAGCTATATCCAAAATTGCAACACTCTGAAAATTAAAAAAAATATAAAGTACCTACCTAGTAACCCATCTTGAGTGGTTTCGCACCTAACACATCGACCTCTTTCTGCACATAGATCGCAACCAACAACCAAAAATCACAAGAAGACTATCGATAAACGAGGAACCAAGAGACTATTTGATTTTGTTTGATGAATATTGTTGAAGAGAAGGAATCAAAGTTGTCTATCAACTATTTATTGAATAACTACATGTAAACTAGACGGATTATTTACCTTTGCCCCATTCTTTAGAAAGGTCTCAGCGTACAGGGCTCCCAAGCCAGAAGCTCCTCCGGTTATCAAAAATGTCTTTCCGTGGACTTCCCACTTTGCCATTTTAAGAAAATATGTACAATCGCTCAGTGATGTTTGTAACTTCAGTTTTTATTTATATACGTACCCGTTATCTTCGCAAATAAAAATTAAATATCGGGTGTTTATAATAATATCAATATTCTTTGTCTGTTTGTTTGTACTAGATTATGTCATATCACATACCTACGATTGCTTATCAAAGTCAATTCAAGTCAAAGTCAAAATCATTTATTTCAGTTAGACAAAGAAGGCACTTTTGAATGTCAAAACAAAATATTTAAATATTTAAGAAAAATATCAGTCTGTTGGTCAGTCCTCTAGTGAAGCTATTTGCTCGTTCCAAAGTGTAGATTCCTATGGAGAAGAACGAGCAAGAAACTCCATAGATTACTCTTTTTCAATCAGGTTCATAATACAATTCTGGGTTTCATTGTTTCGTTGGTTCAATTATGTGAGAATAATGTAAAATGTAATACCAATATTCAGAAAAGGAAAATAACCTTGAGGACAATAAATATAATACAGTCTGGAGCTGACCAGTCCCAGTTGACAGCTCCCATTCACGAACATGACACGTACACCAACACCGCACAACTCAACCATATTGTAGGGAATCGAGCAATCCACTGCCCGTGCCACTAGCAATGCGACTTTTGAGTGAACTCCAAGCTGACTTAAAAGCATTCTACTAGTCTAATTTAGTTAGTACTCTCACATTTGCAATAATTATATAAAGTTTAACAGTGTACATTTGAACAACATGGCTGTATTTTAACATGATTGGAACTCATAATTATCTCTGAGAAATTACATTCAGGTAGCGGGTGTCGTACCACACCTTCAAATTACTAGATTGGGCTCTTTGAGATATTCAAGAATATTTCAAAGTCAGAATTTAATATCTCGCGTCAGATTTGGTTG